AGGTAGACTGGGCTGCTGGGCTGTAGCAATTATATCACATTCAATGGTAATGACACAAGGAGCAGGAGTAGACTGGGCTGCTGGGCGGTAGCACCGTATATCCCCATCACAGGTAATGGACACAATGAGCAGTGATGTAGACTGGGCTGCGGGCTGTAGCACCTTATATCCCATCACATGGTGAATGGACACCAGGAGCAGGATGTAGAATGGGATGCTGGGCGTAGCCCCTGAATCCCATACATGGTAAGGACAACAAGGAGCAGTGATGTATACTGGGCTCGGGGCTGTAGCACTTATTCCATCAGTGCGGAACTGCACAAGGAAGCAGTGGATGACGTCGACTAGACTACAATCCTTCAGCTTTACATTGTCAGATCTTTTGTCCAGGACCTCTTTGGCCACCTGCATTCTGGCCCCACCGATGTTAACATGCATTGGGACAGTTGGGTCACTTAGTGCCTTCTCCCTGTGCATGAACTCTCTGGCCATCTAGGCAGTAAATAAACAACAGATGATGGGATAAATAATGTCTACCATCTATAGGGCTGTTGGGAAATATACAATAATATGAAAGCAGGCCTCCAACTGCCTTGTCACCACCTTACCAATAGTAGTCAGCTGATTCATTGTAATAGTCTTAGACTCTGGGAAACCTTTGTTGCTTGACTGTAATCATGAAAACACACCAGCACACTGGTGATGTTGAAGCTCCACTGATTTGATGGATATTACAGTGATGGAGTTTGTTACATTATAGCAACCAGGTTCTCTATTGACCTGGGTGACATTCATTAGTGCACACACCTGACCATAGCACATCAGTTAGCAACGGAAATAAATAGTTTCTCCTTGGACATGCAGTTATACTAATTACTTATGCTAACCTAATCCTTTCAATGGAATGACTTTGGCTAAACACTCAATCAGAACGATCACTGGCTCTCTGCAATTGAACATGGGGTGCATTTGCTTTTGGCCCACTTTTGGGAGGCCTACCCTTAAGGGTTATGCACAGATTTGCCTACTGAATTATCCTGGGAAATAATTAGCATATGAACTCAGCAGCAGCACATAAACTCCACAATTGTAGCCGTCTATTTGCTTGGTGTGAGGTACAGTTGTCGCCTGCCAGGGAACATTGCTGAACACAGATTATGTGCCGGTTCTGTAAGTTCGTTCCTCAAACCAGTATCTGGTTGGAGAGGAAAACATGAATTGTTTATGCATAGGCCATGACATGCTCTCCTCACATTGCTATATGTCCAGCAACATTCATACACCTGCATAACACTGCATAACACATGAACAATGGCTGCTCATGATTGAGACTGCATGCTTGAACGGAAATTAATAATGCTTCATAACATGGGTACATAGGCTAATTGAGTCATCAATATGCAACTGGGCTATACATGTAACAATAGCCTCAACATCATTGACAGGTCAACTTAACATGTTATTATGAATACTATGCCAGACATTGGAGAAATAGCCAAACAATCTTGTCACCAGACCATAGACTAGATTTACCATACCCAATGTGACCAGGTTCTTCTCACTCATATGGCGCTCTGCATTAGGGGAACCAGTAGGCTCTCTGCATTAGGGGAACCAGTAGGCTCTCTGCATTAGGGGAACCAGTAGGCTCTCTGCATTAGGGGAACCAGTAGGCTCTCTGTATCAGGGGAACCAGTAGGCTCTCTGCATTAGGGGAACCAGTAGGCTCTCTGCATTAGGGGAACCAGTAGGGTCCAGGAAAATGGCAGAGGGAGTCCTGCGATGGACATTCTAAAGGTCAGAGGTAATACCGAGGCAGTGTATGCAAATGTATAGCAATGTCCAATCTCTCACTAAAGGGTCCATCTTGTGCAGCTTACCAAGAGTATCCAGTGGTAGTTTGCCACGTTGCAGGCTCCAATCAAGCAACTGTGTTGCTCCAGACTGGTCTACAGGGCACCTTCTGTCAGGAAGGGGGCATCTCTCCACATATTGACCCTTCTAGCCTCTCATTTAGAACCATGACACAAAAACAACTCTGCAGACATTCATTTACCTTTGTCAGGGTGTTCCTGCGCATCGCCACCTTATCCCCATGCAGGATATTCCCTGCCACAAGGTGATCCACAATAAAAACATATCTCCAATTCAAGGTCAATCCGCTTCAGTTGGAGGTAGAAGTCAATGACCTAAACCAGAATGGCATATGGTTGGTCAAAGTTGACATGATGCCCACACAAGACAGTCAGCCCAGGCAACAACTCTAATTGTACTTTGTACCAATTGCACGCATGGCTATTTCATACAATTCAACCATAACATGTCGGCGCCCTGAACATACCTCCCCACTAAGCCACTAGTTGGGCTTCAACGTATGGAAGTCGTGGAGGTGCAGGATGGCAACGCGTCCCTCCAACAAAATACTTGCGGTTGCCCTGTCACTCCATCCGACGACATGGCCCACAGTTTGTTTACCTACACAAACAGAGGGCAGAAAAATGGTGTTCAAACTGCCTTACTGTACAGATGTGATTAACATACAGTTGGAGAACGTGCAGTATGTAACCAAAACAGTTTCCCATTCCACTTACTCTATCTCCAATTTGTCATCCCTGCTGGGGTGTTTCTCAGGTTGAGACTGTTGGAATTGGTCACCCTATATAATACATGTTGACAGTTCAGTTTCGGACAGCCTGTCTTTTGTGTTCAAGGATATACAGAAAACCCCTGAAGACCACATGGCTTAATAAAATGATCAACATTTTGTCACATACCCAAATAAGAGAAAATCCAGTAACAAACAAGACCTACCTGTTGATCAATGGTCGATGGTTCTTCCTGGTGTTTGGTGGGCATCTGGACATGCTCCTTGGAGGCACACTTATGGCCAGAGCGTTTTGCGCCCAGATGCTTTGTCCTTAGCTTTATTGGCACACTCCCGCCAATGGCAAGTACAGCTGCCAGTCAGTGGACACACCTCTGGGTGCTGTCCGAATCAGAGCAGCAGCACGTCTCCGTTGGCAACAGGGTAACGACGTGCTGCTTGTCTGAGAAGCCCTGGTAGATGAACGGTTGGGTGCTTGGCACCAGGATGATTCCTCCTTTTGCCACGATCATCCTGGCCAAGGCCTCAGAGGCTCCAGTTTCTGCCACACAGGATTGGATGCCTTCAGCAAAGGACACCATGTCTTCCTCCGACATGTGGTAGGGGAAGGTGGTGGTAAACATTCGCATGGAAAATTGCTCATGGCACTTGGGGGGTCACGTGGAAATTCCTGAGGTTACAGTAGCCCTACAGCACCTCCCTCAATGCATTGGTTTGGAGTTCGTAGAGTAGATAAACAAGTTTATCTACTCTCACCTTCTTCCATCCAACCAATGCCTTGAGGATAGCATTGAAGCTCTCAGAGCAGTTGTTTGTAATTCCATCTGACTGGATGTCCAAGCAGTTTAGCACATATTGTGCGCTCTTTTCCATGGCGTCGGACAGTGACTAATGGAAATAGGCCTCGAAATCAGGGCTCCAGTAGACGCACACTTCCCAGTGTGCATTCATAGTCGCTCCTTGATTTCGAGGCTAAGAGCTCTTTGATGGCCTGCTGGTAGTCGGCCACAGCTTGGGAGCCTCTGACCCCATCTTGTGCTTCACATTGTTCGAGATGTGGTTCCAGCAATTGACTATCCTGGCTTGCGGCAGCACAGACTGGATGGCTCCCTCAATAGCTGCCTCACGGTCTGTGCAGAAGATTGCTGTTGATAGTGAAAGGATGGTGCGAAACTGTTTGTGGTTTTCCATTTGCCGGGTGATGTGAATGAAGAATGCCAGGGGAAGGACAGGTGCCTCTTGAAAAGCTACATGATGGAAAACAAAGGGAGAAACATAAAAATTGCCCAGGTCAAACGTGGTGTCATAGCGAAATATGTGTTCTCCTTGGTGTTTGATTTTAATGACTGCCTTGGCCTCTTCAACCATTTCTGGTGCTGCCATTACCAGAAGGATTGCGCGTCGAGTCTCCAGTGACAAATCCAGGGAGAATGTCACCCATCATATGTGTTGCAACCAACTCGTCCCGGTCCAAAACAGTCAGGTCCCTGGGTCAACGAATTGTGAGACCTGTTGAAGGTGATAGCTGAGGGTGTTCGCCCTTTCGAGTTCATTGATCAGCACAGAAAAAATGCACTTTGGCTGATGGTAGCCCGCTGCTGTAACTTCCTCTGGTGAAAGCCTTTTCACAACTGAGGCGATGTAATCAAAAGTTGTGGCCCTCTTTCTCTTCGGCATTCTGAAAAGGAAAATGACATTGGGATTAGTATGGAGATACTGTAGAACAAGACAGGACAAGTTATCGGCTACCTCTGGAGTGAATAATTAAATTGAGACCTTCAGGGAAAACGAAAGGAGGCGGTGTGTGTTTTTTTCATAAATAACAACTGGTGTGCTGCTTCAAGTGTGATGGAAATCTGGAGCTTTTGCTCACCTGATATAGAATACCTCATGGTAAGCTGGAAACCCTTTTATCTACCAAGAGAGTTATTGGCGTCCACATCACTAAGGACTTAACATGGTCCACACACACCCCCAGTCATGAAGAGGGCACGGCAGCGCCTCTTCCCCCTCAGGAGGCTGAAAATAATTGCCGTGGGCCCTCAGATCCTCAAAAAGTTTTACAGCTGCACCATCGAGAACATCTTGACTGGCTGCATCCCCGCTTGGTATGGCAATTGCACCTCCCTTGACAGCAAAGCGCTACAAAGGGTGGTGTGGACAGCCTAGTACATCACTGGGGCCGAGCTCCCTGCCATCCAGGACCTCTATACCAGGCGTTGTCAGAGGAAGGCCTGAAAAATTGCCAAAGACTCCAGCCAACCAAGCCATAGACTGTTCACTCTGCTACCGTCCGGCAAACAGTACCGGAGCATCGGCTCTCGGACCAACAGGCTCCGAGACTGCTTCTACCCCCAAGCCATATGACTGCTAAATAGCCAGACTGCTAAATAGTCAATTAATGGTACCCAAACTATATGCACTGACTCCATCTTGCACTGACCCTGCGAACACTCACTAGACTGTATATACACACCATATACACACTCACTCACACACACTACGCTGTCACTCCCACACAAATCCCTCATACATTCAAACACTACATACGCACACACATGCATACCGACACAACACAAACATACATACGCACACGCACACTCACACACGTTTACACTCATAATTTACTGCTGCTACTCTGTTCTTAATTTTACAATTATTATTATCTATCCTGATGTGTAGTCACTTTACCCTGCCTTCATGTACATATCTACCTCAAATACCTTATTATTATCTATCCTGATGCCTAGTCACTTTACCCTGCCTTCATGTACATATCTACCTCAAATACCTTATTATTATCTATCCTGATGCCTAGTCACTTTACCCTGCCTTCATGTACATATCTACCTCAAATACCTTATTATTATCTATCCTGATGCCTAGTCACTTTACCCTGCCTTCATGTACATATCTACCTCAAATACCTTATTATTATCTATGCTGATGCCTAGTCACTTTACCCTGCCTTCATGTACATATCTACCTCAAATACCTTATTATTATCTATCCTGATGCCTAGTCACTTTACCCTGCCTTCATGTACATATCTACCTCAAATACCTTATTATTATCTATGCTGATGCCTAGTCACTTTACCCTGCCTTCATGTACATATCTACCTCAAATACCTTATTATTATCTATCCTGATGCCTAGTCACTTTACCCTGCCTTCATGTACATATCTACCTCAAATACCTTATTATTATCTATCCTGATGCCTAGTCACTTTACCCTGCCTTCATCTACATATCTACCTCAAATACCTTATTATTATCTATGCTGATGCCTAGTCACTTTACCCTGCCTTCATGTACATATCTACCTCAAATACCTTATTATTATCTATCCTGATGCCTAGTCACTTTACCCTGCCTTCATGTACATATCTACCTCAAATACCTTATTATTATCTATCCTGATGCCTAGTCACTTTACCCTGCCTTCATGTACATATCTACCTCAAATACCTTATTATTATCTATCCTGATGCCTAGTCACTTTACCCTGCCTTCATGTACATATCTACCTCAAGTACCTTATTATTATCTATCCTGATGCCTAGTCACTTTACCCTGCCTTCATGTACATATCTACCTCAAGTACCTTATTATTATCTATGCTGATGCCTAGTCACTTTACCCTGCCTTCATGTACATATCTACCTCAAATACCTTATTATTATATATCCTGATGCCTAGTCACTTTACATTTATTTTTATTTATTTGGGGGGGGGGGGGTTGGGGTAAGGGGGGGGGGTAGGAGGATTACTTTATCCTATCCCAGGTATTCCTTAAAGAGGTGGGGTTTCAAATGTCTCCGGAAGGTGGTGAGTGACTCCGTTGTCCTGGCGTCGTGAGGGAGCTTGTTCCACCATTGGGGTGCCAGAGCAGCGAACAGTTTTGACTGGGCTGAGCGGGAACTATGCTTCCGCAGAGGTAGGGGAGCCAGCAGGCCAGAGGTGGATGAACGCAATGCCCTCGTTTGGGTGTAGGGACTGATCAGAGCCTGAAGGTACGGAGGTGCCGTTCCCCTCACAGCTCCGTAGGCAAGCACCATGGTCTTGTAGCAGATGCGAGCTTCAACTGGAAGCCAGTGGAGTGTGCGGAGGAGCGGGGTGACGTGAGAGAACTTGGGAAGGTTGAACACCAGACGGGCTGCGGCATTCTGGATGAGTTGTAGGGGTTTAATGGCACAGGCAGGGAGCCCAGCCAACAGCGAGTTGCAGTAATCCAGACGGGAGATGACAAGTGCCTGGATTAGGACATGTGCCGCTTCCTGTGTAAGGCAGGGTCGTACTCTCCGAATGTTGTAGAGCATGAACCTACAGGATCGGGTCACCGCCTTCATGTTAGCGGAGAACGACAGGGTGTTGTCCAGGGTCACGCCAAGGCTCTTTGCACTCTGGGAGGAGGACACAACGGAGTTGTCAACCGTGATGGCGAGATCATGGAACAGGCAGTCCTTCCCCGGGAGGAAGAGCAGCTCCGTCTTGCCAAGGTTCAGCTTGAGGTGGTGATCCGTCATCCATACTGATATGTCTGCCAGACATGCAGAGATGCGATTCGCCACCTGGTTATCAGAAGGGGGAAAGGAGAAGATTAGTTGTGTGTCGTCAGCGTAGCAATGATAGGAGAGGCCATGTGAGGATATGACAGAGCCAAGTGACTTGGTGTATAGCGAGAATAGGAGAGGGCCTAGAACTGAGCCCTGGGGGACACCAGTGGTGAGAGCACGTGGTGCGGAGACAGCTTCTCGCCACGCCACTTGGTAGGAGCGACTGGTCAGGTAGGACGCAATCCAAGAGTGAGCCGCGCCGGAGATGCTCAGCTCGGAGAGGGTGGAGAGAAGGATCTGATGGTTCACAGTATCAAAGGCAGCAGACAGGTCTAGAAGGACAAGAGCAGAGGAGAGAGAGTTAGCTTTAGCAGTGCGGAGAGCCTCCGTGACACACAGAAGAGCAGTCTCAGTTGAATGACCAGTCTTGAAACCTGACTGGTTTGGATCAAGAAGGTCATTCTGAGAGAGATAGCAAGAGAGTTGGCTAAAGACGGCACGCTCAATAGTTTTGGAGAGAAAAGAGAGAAGGGATACTGGTCTGTAGTTGTTGACATCAGAGGGATCGAGTGTTGGTTTTTTGAGAAGGGGTGCAACTCTCGCTCTCTTGAAGACTGAAGGGACATAGCCAGCGGTCAAGGATGAGTTGATCAGCGAGGTGAGGTAAGGGAGAAGGTCACCGGAGATGGTCTGGAGAAGAGAGGAGGGGATAGGGTCAAGCGGGCAGGTTGTTGGGCGGCCTGCCGTCACAAGTCGCAAGATTTTATCTGGAGAGAGAGGGGAGAAAGAGGTCAAAGCATAGGGTAGGGCAGTGTGAGCAGGACCAGCAGTGTCATTTGACTTAACAAACGAGGATCGGATGTCGTCAACCTTCTTTTCAAAATGGTTGACGAAGTCATCCACTTTACCCTGCCTTCATGTACATATCTACCTCAAGTACCTTATTATTATCTATCCTGATGCCTAGTCACTTTACCCTGCCTTCATGTACATATCTACCTCAAGTACCTTATTATTATCTATCCTGATGCCTAGTCACTTTACCCTGCCTTCATGTACATATCTACCTC